CACATTTTCTCTTTTGAGGGTAGAACTTCAGGAATGTATAATTTTGCGCACTAACTAGATTTTTAAATTTTACGTACTTGCCGCCCTACGATACTAAATTTAAATGCTTCCCTCTCAAAAGAATTTTGAAGACGAGCAATGCAATTTTTCAAAATCATAAAAGAATGTAGAAGCCAGTTATTTAATTATTACAGAGATATACTAGTTAAACCTGTTCCATCGCTTGCGTGGGCATTCGTTAAGAGGTTTCCATGAAGTAAAATCTAAGACTTAATCTATAAATAATAATAATTAATCCTTTATTGCAGTCCTTTTAGTCCATAATTTGTTAAAGAATCAAAGAAAAGTTTTAAGATCCATGTCTGTAATCGTCATCATCATATTTACAACTCCTCACTTGCCCACTGCTGAACATAGGCCTCCCGCAAGGTATGCCACAAAGCACGGTCCTGAGCCACCTGCATCCATCGACTTCCTGCATGTATTACCAGGTTGTCACCCCATCTAGTGGGGGGTCACTCTACACTTCGCCAACTCATACATGGCTACTCGAGAACCTTTTTTCTCCATCGGTTGTCGGTTCTCGGAGCTATCTGTTTGGCCTATTGCAACTTCAGATTACTCATCCGCTGAACTATGCCAGTCACTCTGGGCTTACTGCAGATATCGGCATTTCTAAGTTTTTCACCCAAAGATACCCCGGGCATAGTCCCCACCATAGCTTGCTGAACGACCTTAAGCGGTCTCATACGGCCAGCAGTTAAGGACCACGAATCAGATCAGTTTTGAGGTATTCTTGACGAGAAGATGTATTCGTCAACAACTTCGAGCTTAGTGCTCGCAACAACAAGGCTTAGGTAAAGGTAGGTAATTAATTTTTATAATCTACTTATAATAAAAACCTTTCTTTTCATAGTATTCACCCACACTTTAAAATGTTAATATTATGTAACATTAATCTAACTATATACAATATTGCGCTATCAAATATATAAACATTAATTTTTGTTAGTTCGTATTTTATGCACAGCTATGCCGTTCATCAGATTGCGGTAAAACTTTGTCAACTTATTACTGGCACTTGCGCGAAGATTATAGGCATAATACAATTAAATTAAGGAAGATGGCGCGCGTATCATACCGATAAATTTATTTAAAAGTTCATCATTCATCGTTCATCATTCATATTCATAATTAAACAATATCACTCTTCCAAAATTAAAAACATATTTACACAATTGTTTCTTCTGCGCGGGCATCGCGTGGGGTACCAGTTACTCTTATAAAATTGTAGATTATCGATCTCTGAGTTAAGTGATATTACTACGTGTATATTGTATATACACTGCAATGCTATATTATAAAAAAAATTCTGTTGGCGCTATCACGAAATCACCGTCGCATCAGTAACGCAGTTTTTTTGCGAGTAAGTGTGGAAAAATTATCTATGTGACCGTCAACTAACATACCTGATGCACTATAGTAACGTGAAAGCCCCCGTAACAACCTAAAAGCGTTTTTATACTGTATACGTAGAATGTGGAAATTTTGTAAATTGAATCTAGGAAATTTTGTGCTATTTTTAATACGAGTTCCTATGTTGAAGTCACATTGGAATGCAATATCAATCGAATGTCGCACTGCTAACGAAAAAGTATACATTTTTTGCTAAATCCATATTTCTTTTTGTTTGAAGTTTTTATTTGGGGAATTGTGACCTTACAAATTGAAAAACATTGTAGCCGCTAGAAAAAGGCAAATAATGACCAACTGAATTCAATAGTGAAAGTGGACCCATCTCAAAATGCGGCAGAGCTAGCTTCAACTGGTGATCGATGTTAGTGTCATAATTATGTTAGATCACATTCGGTAAATCGGTTCGGTAAATCGGTAAGTACAATAAAGAAGCTTGACGAGTCGACGTAATATGAAATGAGAGACGCACAGTTGATGACGGAGGCGTTAGCAGTATAAGCAAACCTAAACCTGGAAATCCTTTCTTATTCACTATATTCTTCAGAACTTACGCCTACGTACTTACACATTTTTCGACTTTTTGATTTTTGACCTTTTGATTGGCAAAAATATGGATTCCAATTAAGCAGATTCCCAAGCAGCAGATTTTTACACAAAGGATTTAGCGATATCTACTACCATTATATTGTCGTGGGTGTGGTAAAAGGCGACAGGGGGAGCCCGAAACAAGAGATGGTCAGCAGCATCTTTCTGATAACAACTCAAAACGCTGTGGTTGCATAGCCACCTGCCAGGCATGGCAACTATGGCATACTCCCAGTGCCAAATATGAAGCAATCTATGGATCAGGCCTATATTTAACAAATGGTTTTTATAGGCTGCGATGGATTCTAACGCGGACAACGCCTAGGTGACCTAACGATCTGGAAAAAAATTCTAATGAGGCTAAGAGACAGGCTGCACATTAGCTAGATTTACAGATTGGGATTGACAGAAGGCGAACTAAGCGTATCATCACAAGAGACTACTCAGGCGTGTAAGCCTATAGAACTACACCTAGATAAATGGATCCTATCTGGTTTACTGACTTTGTTCATGTCTTGACATCGCAAGGTTTCGAGCATCTCCTTGTTGCTCGACACCACACTGCCGCATTTCTAGGCTGCTTCAAATTTAACCGACCTTCTGTTTTGAACGTAAAGTAAGCTCAGGCGCATTCAGTGATGGAACACGGGCAAGCTTTACCACAGATCGGAGAAGCGTCAATAATGAGATAAAATTCTCTAGACGTATCACATCGGTCACAGCATCTTCAGACGAGTGAAAATGCAAAGAGATGCCGATTATCATGCCAATTTGCTGACTTATACCGCCACGTTAGGCGCACACCTTAGAGATTATAGTAGGAGAAAATAACGACACAGATTTCATAACATAATGATCAAAACTTGATCTTGACCAGTACGACACTGCAACTCGAGAACCTTTCTTCACAATGTCTCCAAGTTTTAAAAACATTATAGGTTCTACATTATCATTGCCAAATAAACTACTAAAACTCTAAACTAGGGAACATTCAAAGCTTTAAAAATTCATAATTCCGAAAATATTAACTTTATCGTAATAATTCACGTGATTTTTTTAATCATAAGTTATCAAAAAATATAAATAATTTATTTCATTTGAAAATAACATCTGGCAATTTAAAAAAAATAGGTTCGCAATGTGGCAACGAGTTGCCCCATGGTTGCATGCACTTATATCATCAGTAGGACAATTTGAAGAGAATCGTATAAAAAATTGAGGTGATACTTCCCTGCAATTGTGACTCGCTTGCCGCATAGTATCTAATCGAATCGATCTTAATTTCGATTTTAAAAAGGCTCGTGTATCAAGTCTAGTCGGTGGGAAAGTTGTTTTTCAGTTTTGTTTGATAAACGCTCGTGTATCAAGTCTAGTCGGTGGAAAAGTTGTTCTTCAGTTTTGTTTGATAAACGCTCGTGTATCAAGTCTAGTCGGCAGAGGCGAAGCTTCTATAAAAGCCGATAAGCCGGGCTTGCCTTATTAAAACTGAATCAATCGATAATATCAACTAATAAAATAACTCATAAACTGTTTAAAATTATTTCAATTTTCCCGCGCACTCCACTGTTCGACACATGTCGACCGATGACCTCGTATTGCTTTAGCGATACTCACAGAGTACCTTTGTATAAAGCGATACTGCTGCTGTCATAAAAAGTGAGTTTTAATAGAGCGATTAGTTGTCTCCCTCGCTCGCGCGGGCTTTTTACGGGGCTTTCGAGAAGACGATCGCTCTCTTTCTAACCTATGGCAAAATATTCTATAATTAAATATAACTACGAAATGTTTATATAGCAATTACTATTGAGCCACAAGCCTGGCTTTGCCATGAAGTTGTTTAGGAGTGCATTAACGACTAGCGAATGGGGTGCGGGCCATTCGTATGCAAGCTCACTTCACATTTCAATGTTTATGTTTGTTTTTGTTGTGTTTGTTAAAAATTTATGCTTTTTCAAAGATTTTCAGTGAAAATGGAAGGATAATAGTGTTCATTGTGATGAATATAAGTGTGTTGAAGTGCTAATCGGCGAGGAAAAGGTAAGACGTTTAAAAATGAAATTTAATATTCAATAAACATTTCATCATACTTTAAATATAGGTACAGGACTCTTTAGTATTAAAGTTTAATTAATTTAGGCATATTTAAAGGTTTAATAACTCAATATTTATATTACCATAGGAATTAAAAATATCAATTTGAACACCAGCATAAAATATGAGACACCTAGGTTTAATTTTATAGGAAATAAGTGTTACAATCTTTTGTTAACGTGGAGGCCAAATTTTAACGAAATAAATCAAAATAATACAAAAAAATGTATTGAGATTTTTAAAGAATACTCCCTTTAGTTATTTCCAGTATATAAAATTTTGATAGCGCCATCTACTTAATTCTATAGGTAAAGTCATTTTATCGAACGAAAATTGGTTGATTCTTACGATGGTACCTAAAGATTACGCTAGATGGCACAAATACGCTATCGCCTAATTTATATTACCATAATATGAGTTTAAAAATATCATTTTGTACAGTTTATTATGAATTGAAAATGAATAATTATATAATAAATAGTCATTATTTTATGGTAAAAAATTAGCAAAGCTTTATCTTCTCATTATAACTATCTAATTTCTGTTGTAATCTGTTCTTTTATACATATAACTTAAACAAAATAATTTCGAGGTTTCACATCTGCCAGGCGTCCCTTTTTTAACTTTGTACATAGTTTGTTTGTACTTTGTTCATGCTTTTCTTTTGTTCATGTATTGTATTGTTTGCAAATATCTCAAGCAAACCCAAACGGCTCTTTTCAAAACCACCGAAGGTGTGCAATTGCATATTATGTCATACAATCTATCTAGCGGTAGTATGCTTTCTGTGTGCTTTGTTAAACACGTCCTTGACAGCACTGAATATGAAATTAAAGAGTGGAGACAGCTCAAGATTGGTGTATTTTTATTAAACTGCTAAAAGTAGCAAAACCATATCTTGGGCTTGCCTTAGTTTGGAGCCCTAGCTTCGCCACTACTAGTCGGTGGGAAAGTTGTTCTTTAGTTTTGTTTGATAAACGCTCGTGTATCAAGTCTAGTCGGTGGGAGAGTTGTTCTTCAGTTTTATTTGATAAACGCTCGTGTATCAAGTCTAGTCGGTGGGAAAGTTGTTTTATAGTTTTGTTTGATAAACGCTCGTGTATCAAGTCTAGTCGGTGGGAAAGTTGTTCTTCAGTTTTATTTGATAAACGCTCGTGTATCAAGTCTAGTCGGAGGGAAAGTTGTTCTTCAGTTTTGTTTGATAAACGTTCGTGTATCAAGTCTAGTCGGTGGGTAAGTTGTCCTTTAGTTTTGTTTGATAAACGCTCGTGTATCAAGTCTAGTCGGTGTGAAAGTTGTTCTTTAGTTTTGTTTGATAAACGTTCGTGTATCAAGTCTAGTCGGTGGGAAAGTTGTCCTTTAGTTTTGTTTGATAAACGTACGTGTATCAAGTCTAGTCGGTGGGAAAGTTGTTCTTCAGTTTTGTTTAATAAACGCTCGTGTATCAAGTCTAGTCGGTGGGAGAGTTGTTCTTCAGTTTTGTTTGATAAACGCTCGTGTATCAAGTCTAGTCGGTGGAAAAGTTGTTCTTCAGTTTTGTTTGATAAACGCTCGTGTATCATGTCTAGTCGGTGGGAAAGTTGTTCTTCAGTTTTGTTTGATAAACGATCGTGTATCAAGTCTAGTCGGTGGGAAAGTTGTCCTTTAGTTTTGTTTGATAAACGCTCGTGTATCAAGTCTAGTCGGTGTGAAAGTTGTTCTTCAGTTTTGTTTGATAAACGTTCGTGTATCAAGTCTAGTCGGTGGGAAAGTTGTTCTTCAGTTTTGTTTGATAAACGCTCGTGTATCAAGTCTAGTCGGTGGAAAAGTTGTTCTTCAGTTTTGTTTGATAAACGCTCGTGTATCAAGTCTAGTCGGAGGGAAAGTTGTTCTTCAGTTTTGTTTGATAAACGTTCGTGTATCAAGTCTAGTCGGTGGGAAAGTTGTCCTTTAGTTTTGTTTGATAAACGCTCGTGTATCAAGTCTAGTCGGTGTGAAAGTTGTTTTTTAGTTTTGTTTGATAAACGTACGTGTATCAAGTCTAGTCGGTGGGAAAGTTGTTCTTCAGTTTTGTTTAATAAACGCTCGTGTATCAAGTCTAGTCGGTGGGAGAGTTGTTCTTCAGTTTTGTTTGATAAACGATCGTGTATCAAGTCTAGTCTGTGGAAAAGTTGTTCTTCAGTTTTGTTTGATAAACGCTCGTGTATCATGTCTAGTCTGTGGGAAAGTTGTTCTTCAATTTTGTTTGACAAACGCTCGTGTATCAAGTCTAGTCGGTGGGAAAGTTGTTCTTCAGTTTTGTTTGATAAACGCTCGTGTATCAACCCTAGTCGGTGGAAAAGTTGGTCTTCAGTTTTGTTTGATAAACGCTCGTGTATCAAGTCTAGTCGGTGAGAAAGTTGTTATTCATTTTTGTTTACTAAACGCTCGTGTATCAAGTCTAGTGGGTGGGAAAGTTGTTATTCATTTTTGTTTACTAAACGCTCGTGTATCAAGTCTAGTCGGTGGGAAAGTTATTCTTCAGTTTTATTTGATAAACACTCGTGTATCAAGTCTAGTCGGTGGAAAAGTTGTTCTTCGGTTTTGTATGATAAACGCTCGTGTATCAAGCGGAAACGGTGAGATCGTTGCTTTCAGTTTTGTTTGGTAAGTGCTCGCGTATCAATCCCAGTTGATGAGAACGTTCTTCTTTATTTTGTTTAATAAGCGCACGTGTATCAGACGCAATTGCTTAGCACGATGTTCTGGACTTTAATTACGTCTGGTAGAATTTGCTTAAGCTCTCACTTGTGAAAGTTTATGAACAAGCTGCTTTGGAATACTTATTGAATTTATTTCCTTATTTTTTTCTCAAGCGATCTTTCATTTCATCATTTGTTTTCACAAAAAAGTCGCTTTCTTACTGAATCTATGGTCTCATTGGAGCAGTGATTTAAGAAAATCTACTCATGTTAACTATAACACTTAACACTATAGATATAAGCAAGTGCTTAAGACTCAAAGATTAACACTAAATATTGAAATGTAGAGTTTCTTTTTTCAAAGCTATATAAACCAATTTCCAAACTTTGCCTATAATACTAAAAAGTTAAAAATATTTTTTATAGTTAAGCAATGCACAAAAACCAAAAAATAAACTTACGAGATACAAATACATTTAGAGTAAAACAAGACAAAATAGCGATTATATGACTTCAAAATTGTTAAAAACTTAAACAGAAATTGTAAGAAATAACCGTACTAGATGCATATTTTAAGGGACATGTGAACACAAGTAAATTCAAACTGAAAAAATAACGAAACTTATGAAAATTACTTAAACTAAGCTGATAAGTAATAACCGAATTAGATACCTATTTAAATCTATTGAGATACTAGCTGGCCAGACAGACGTTGTTCTACCCTTTTCAATGACCCTTTGTCGTGTCCTATTAAAATTTCCTAAAATCGAAAAAAAATTGTGGGTCTCTCAAGTTGGACCAAACTGCACACGTTGTGCAAATTTGATTAAAATCGGTTAAGTAGTTTAGGAGTCCATCGCGGACAAACAACGTGACACGTAATTTATATATATTAAACAAATAATAAGATTAAACAAATGTAAGAAAATTGAAATAAAAACTAAGGAAAGCAAATAAATATCACACCGACTCCTAAAATTACTGGTAATATATATCTAATGCAATCTTAAAAATACATAATTGTATGTATATTCGTTATACGTTTCTTAATTTCTTAGCAATAAAAAAATATTATTTTTAACTTTTTAGTAGTGTAGTAGTTAGGCAAGGTTTTGAATTCGGTTATTATTGTTTCGAAAAAAAAAATTCATTTATTAACGATCATTTACAGTCACATCGTATCCTAATGACCAACTAAACAGGTGCGTGAGACATCTGCAGCTCGGACTGATTACATCTATAAAAATTGACAAAATCATCACTTAGTATCCTCCTGTTCAATTATTCGTTTTTAAGTGGACTGATTGAATTTACTTTTTTTATAATAAGCCAGTGCTCGACTGCTACTCATCATCATCATCATCATCATAACATCCCTTCACGAGTCCACTGCTGAACATGGGCGTCACCCAAGTAATGCCACAAAGTACGTTCCTGAGCCACCTGCATCCATCGACTTACCTAATGGTAAACGATCATTCAGTCAAAGATGATAAGCACACTGACTTAGCTTATCAAAAGACTATTCATTCATACCTTGAAAATATCCACATTATAGTCGTATTCTAGGACATATGCTGGCACGCCTTTTCATTGAGTTTAAAGCCACTAGGTAATCTTTTGCAGCACTAGCAATATATGGCAGTAATACTCTGGTTTAATAAACTGTGACGGCGTGAAGTAATGCCGAACTTTGCAAGGACAGCTAACTTCCTTGCAGCGGAGGCTGAGGTTTCTGCGAATCGGAGTTTTGAGCGGACTCAATAAGCCGCTTAAATTTCTGATTCACAGAAATCTCAACTTCCAGTAACTAATAGGTGGTCGGTGAATTTCAAATACAATTTTGTAAAAAAATCAAGCCAAGATGAATTCGTTCCTTTTCGCGGCGAAGAGACGCTTGTGTTCTGGATGCGTTGAATTTCACGTCATTGACATCAACTCCTTCGAAGGCTGCATGAAACGAGAGATCCACACGCTCAACTATAACTGCTCTTTCGAAGTGGATATGACCCGACTGGTCTGAGCACTTAATTGATATATTTTCACAACAGTGCTGTCATCTGCGTACCCAAAAAAACATTCTCATGAAACACTTGATGCATCAGGATGGAAACTCATATTGTTAGAATTATCTCGTCGTTAAATAATACTGCAGCATGTGCTAGTTATCGTGACCGTTAATTATCTAGTTGCATTTTATTTCGCTATTGTTATTGGACCGGAAAGTTCTGAGTTTATAGAATGCCACAGCGTCGCAACTTAATAATAAGCCACAGTGCCACGAAGCCGTACACGGTGATTTTATACACAATTTTTTGAATTTTAAAACAATTCAAAATTCCTGCTTAGTTTGATTTATATTTCCGATGTTTTTAGAACTTTGCATTATTAATGCGGTCTAACCTCCAGTTCATAACAAAATTGATCAGACTTTTCGTAGTTTCATCATCATTATCATTTAAGCCTAACTGAAGCCCACTGCTGAAAATAAAATGTGTTCGTAGATTACTTCGAAGAGATATTACTTGCCATAGTTACCATGTGTGGCAGGCGGGTGTGCAAATGCAGTTTTTTTATTATTTTGAATTATTTATAAGTAAAATGTTGCTGATTATGTCGTGTTTCACATCTCTCTGTCATCTCTTAATAATGTCCTTTGAACCGAATGCTGATCACGGTGGCCAGTCTCAACGTGGACTAGCCATCTGCACAGGACTAGATTATAGTGCAGAAGTATGTGTGCGCAAACACAATTGAATATTCATATAATCCAATAGGACGGCAATCCGACACGACCGGAGAGGAACCGAGACTCAAGTTTTTAGTCACTTGTTAAGTATCTTATCCAGACATTCTCATTAAGTTGTATTTTCATACTAACACTACTCTCATATCCTTTGTTTTCAATTTTCAGGCATTTTTTGTAATTCCTGTACGTACTTTCTCTTATTTCTTTATATTTTTACATTTAGCTAGCTTTACTTCTTTTAGTATTCTATTCACTTATTTATTTAAAAAATGTATTGCACTTAAAATGTACTATTGGCGGACTTAATGCCTTTAGGCATTCTCTACCAGTCAACCACGAAATAAGCAGAGAACTTTAGCAGGTGCCATAAAATATGAGGATAATTTATACGTGAATGTAAATATAAAAATGCACATACCATAAGTGTAAATACAAAAATAAATATACACAACTACAATTAACCTAAGTAATTATACTCAATACCTGCTACAATACATACATAATATTTAAATAGTGCATAATACATACGTTTTAAGCATACTTACATACTAACGTATTATACGAAAAAAATATAAATAATTTATAATGTCAAGTCACATATAAGCAGAAACAATTAAATATGAAAGTTAGTTGCTGGAAGAAGAAAGGTCTTCAGGAAAATTCAGGAAAATCAGTCACCATCCTCTTAAAGGTAGCAACAGAAGTCGGTTTTCTGATATGGGAGGGTAATTTATTTCATAGCCTTATGGCCTCAGCGGCGAAAGACTGAGACATAAATTTGGTACGGCGAGGAAAAACACATAAGGTAGTTCCCTCAGAGGATCGCAGGTTACGATCGTGAGAAAAATCCAAATACTGAAACTTGCATTTCAGGTATTGGGAAGTGCATGGATCATATAGGATTGAAAAAAGCGTGCGAAGAATTTTGATATATCTACGCTGATGCATAGGGAGCCATTTAAGCTTAGAACGATATATGGATATATTATGATCGTATTTACGAAGGCCAAAAATAAAACGGATGCAATTGTTTAACAAACGATCCAATTTGCTCAGAAGTACTTGACTCACGTCAGATTAACACACATCAGCATAATCAATGACTGGTAAAACAAGCTGGAAGGAAATTCTTGAAACGATAAAGGCCATGCAGGGTAATTGTCACTTCCCGGCTTATTTCAGCCACCTGAGATTGCCAACTTAAATTAGCATCAATCATTAAACCAAGGTCTTTAACTACATGACTAAGAGGAATAATTATGTTATTGTAAACGATAGGCTCCAGTGAATTGAAATCTAATTTAGCTATACGGCGAGGACTACCGAGAATTATCGCTTGACATTTAACAGTATTGATAGCAATTCCATAATTTCTGCACCAGTCAGAAATAGCGTCAAGATTTAGATTTAAAATTTCAATTGTGGAGTTAACCTCTGCTGGATCAATCCTTGTAGGAGCATTTGAAATTCACAGTTATAAGATTTATAAAAATAGAAAATAATAAAGGAGAAAGAATTCCGCCTTGTGGAACGCCAGTAGTAAGATCAAACCAATCAGAGAAAGTTTGTTGGTTGACTTTAACGTTTTGCTGGCGATCACGAAGATAAGTTGATAACCAATCCAAAACTGACGAAGAGAAACCCATGTATTTACAGATAGCAAGAAGAATGTCATGATCGACTGTACAGAAAGCATTGGAGAACTCAGTTAACACGAGAACCGTTAATTTTGATTTCTCCATACCCTCTCGTACATCATCAAGTACTTTAAGGAGAGCAG